TCCTGCTGAGAGCCATAGCCAAGTAGGAATGACACATGGCAATTTCCTTGTCAGCCTACCCAATGTTGCTTAGAGGGAGGACTCTCCATTGTGGAAATGGGCTTGCCTTGGACCCAGGTCATTTGCAGTGACATTGCATGAATGTTTGAGAAAGGTGACCCTGCTCAAGGACCAGGGTGGATCCGGGTTTAGGGTGGATCTGGGTTTAGGGTGGATCCTGCTGGGAATAGGGTGTATCCTGCTGCCTCAGGCACCTGCTCCTTGAGTTCCCGAGTTCTCTCAGGGTTCTGAGAGTATTTGGGACGCAGAGCCCGGTGGAGGGTGGATTTTCCCAGAACGTGCGTGCGTGTAGACGGCTGGTGAGAGTCGGGAATAAAGAGTTGCTGTTTGAATCTACAAGGCGGTGTGGTGGCTCGGTTATTTTGTGCCCAGCCAGTCTGCAGCATACTCCTGCTTACTGCCCTTTATGAATGATTCAGATCCCCTAAACTCAAAATTCCTCACCTGAAATGCAACCCAGTTCATGTTCAGGAAGAATTTGGCCCTCTTCAACCTTTTTTTTAAATACCTTTATACCTGGGAAAGCAGTATAAATTTTAAAAACATTCTGGGGATCTGTCTACTGCTCGGACTGTAAATTATAGACTATCTTCTCTGACAAAGAAGTCTTGTGTGTTTTCCCAGCACCCACCAAACGATAGCAAGATAATTCATTTGACTGAGATAAAATCTTAGTCACTTCAAATTTCTTGCCAATTATAAGAGATTTCTTGAATAATAGCAAACTTTTTTTCTCTACACATTTCCAAAGTCTTTTTGGTCAACCAGGATGATTTAATCTAAAATCAAGAGTTTTTTTGTTTTTTTTTTTTAATAAAATAGGAGTTCAAAAAATCAAAAATTTCTGAATACATTGTTAAATTTCTAAACCTCGGGGCTCTGGGCAAGCACTTTGCTGCACTTTTTGGAAAGTTGTTGTGCTTATACTAGTTGGGAAAAAACCTTCTTTTGTTCCAGGAACTAATTTTATAAAATTTATCTCTTGGATCCTGGAGCACAAAGAGAATCAGACCCAGCCTTCATGTTGAAATCAGTGTTGTCCCAGGGTGAGGCTCTTCTGCTTTATAGTTTTAGAGCTTAGCAGGCTTTCTGCTCTAACTTCCCCTCAAGAAAACCCCGAGGAGGGCACATCTCACATAGTTTCTGAAAGTCAAAGGACAAATGTCCATCCACATCCCAAACAGCTGGGAAACCCTTAAACAAATCTCCAGCAAGAAAGGAGAGGGTTACTGGCAGGATGCCTGTACCTCCAACTTGCCAGGAACAGTCCAGGTTCTTGCTGTTCTCCATTTGGACAATAAATCTACATCCATTAGCACAGTTATCCAAGTCATAGGGTTCAGGAAGACTAGTCCCCACCCCCACAGCACTTGGATCATCCGCTTTGAAATTTTTTTCACTTCTTCATTGAAACCATCTTTTGCAACTGACCTAGGTCACATAGATGCTCCCCAACCATTGCCATCTTCACATCACTGCTATCTACCTCTGAAATCATGACCGCCCCTAACCCCATTCTCTGAGTGCCAGCATCTCACTAGTCCCCAGGAGGCACCTCCCTCTCTATTTTGAAATTGGGTGTTCCTCTTCTTAGTTAACACTTAGTCTTCTCTCCAACTATTGAACCAGATGGTTTATCGAGATTCCTTCCAGATCTAGTATCTGTCATCTGACGTTCCCCAACTCATTCACTATCCTTAAAATACATACATAAACAGAGGAGGGGAGGGGAGGATGGGCATTAATGCTATATATCTTCCCTCCTCTTCAAATACGAGTTCCTAAATACCTACTTTAAAGTCAACTCACCACTGGATAATTTCTAATATATATTTTACTCTGTGTATGCTACATAGGCAGTATGCTTAATGAGATCCCTAAAGACCCACTTATTTCAAATCTGACGAGCATTTCCCCTCTCTCCTCATTGCCCTTTATCCTAAGGGTGTATGTGTGTGTGCATGTGCATGCATACATTATGCACCGAATTAGTTCCCCCCAGAATTCACATGTTGAAGCTCTAATGGTTGGTGTTCCTGTATTTGGAGATAGGGCTTTTAAGGAGGGAATTAAGGTTAAATGAAATCATAAGATTGGGGTCCTAATCCTGTAGGACTGGTGTCCTTATAAGAAGAAGATGTGACACCAGGGTGCTCTCAGTTTTTCTCATTACATGTGTGTACACACAGAGAGAAAAAGCCACATAAAGGCACAGCAAGAAGGCACAGTCTGCAAGCCAGGAAGAGAGATGTCACCAGAAACAAAATTTGACAGCACCTTAATTTTGAACTTTCAGACTTGAGAAAATGAATTTCTGTTGTTTTTAAGCCACCCAGTTCTTAACAGTTTGTTATGGCAACCAAGGTTCTTAACCTTGTTATGCCCAGCAAACACAAAATGTAGTATTCTTAGCATACTCCATAGAATATGCATTCTGTTCTACAAAGTATAGTCTGCCTAGTTTGCAATGCACACATGAAGCATTGGGTCATTACAGAATAGTAGGGCTAGAAGTAAAGGTCACAGCTAAAAGCAGAATACTAGCTCTTTTCCACTAAGCAAAACGGAACAGAAAGCAAATGCAAACACTATCTTCTTTATATCTCAGATAAGCTCTTCTTTTAGCTAACTTGGTTATATCTTATTTATTCACCTTTAGTGGCCATTGGTAAATGCAACTATTTTAACTTTGCAGGCAAATTCCCCAAAAGGTCAAACTTAGTCAATATTTTTATATGGATCTTCCTCTGATGGAGGAGGAAAGTGTGACTGGAACCATCAAATGCAAAAATGGGGACAGTTCATCAATGACTCTTGTTTCATTTTTTTGGACATTAATTGGAGATATTTGCTTAAGAAACAACCATTTGGCCAAGTGTGGTGGCGCATGCCTGTAATCCCAACAGCTTGGGAAGCTGAGGCAGGAGGACCACAAGTTCAAAGCCAGCCTCAGCAAACTGACGGACCTGTCTCTAAATAAAAATACAAAAAAAAAAGGGGGGGTTGGGGGTGTGTGTGGCTCAGTGGTTGAGCACCCCTGGGTTCAATCCCCAGTACTAAAAACAAAAAGAAAAGAACCATTTTGAGATTAGGAGAATTTGAACCTAGGTGGATATCAAAGAGTATTAAAGAATTATTGTTAATTTTGTCAGGTCTGATAATGATTTTATGGTTTTGAAAGAAAATGGGGCAACATAGAACTATTGACTGGAGAAAAAGAAAGAGGAAAAGAAGGAAGGGGCAAGAAAATTTTGACACTTCAAATGGGGGAAGGGTACAAGAGGCTCATTTGTATAATGTGTCTACTTTGGTGTAAATGTGAAAAATCTTCATTTAAAAGGTGTTTTTTAAAATGCATGCTGACACAAACATTTATTGAATACCTGAAATAGGAGTCAATTGGTTGTCTACCATTAGTAATAGATCCAAGGTTTGGGAGGCCTGAAGTTTCTGCAGTTGGGGAGCCTTCTTTAAGAAAAATCAAGAATACAAAGTGCTCTTGGGGAGAGCCCTGTGCTGATGAGAGGTTCTGAAGCCTCTGTCCGCCATGGGCGTGCTCTGGCTGGCCCAGTGATACTTCCCACTTTAGTCTTTTTTTTTTTAATTAATGTTTCATACATAACCAAAGATTGGAGAGATTAAGACTATGATGTTCTGTAGCCAGGTGCAGTGGTGTACGCCTGTAATCCCAACGGCTCGGAAGGCTGAGGCCAGAGGATCAGGAGTTCAAAGCCAGCCTCAGCAACAGAGAGGCATTCAGCAACTCAGTGAGACCCTGTCTCTAAATAAAATTCAAAAAAGTCTGGGGATGTGGCTCAGTGGTTCAGTGCCCCTGAGTTCAATCCCTGGTACCCCCACACACACCAAAAAAAAAAAAAACACTATGATGTTCTGCGCATCTGTCATCCAGCTACCACAGCCATCATTGGCGTCTTAGCTCATTGTGATGAATTAACCACCCATTCCTGTCCACACATACTGCATAATTTTTAAGTCCCTAATATGATCTTATCTCTAATGTATTTCAATATGCATCTCTCAATGTTAGGGACTCTTTCAAAAATATAGTACAATATTATTATCATACCTAAAAAAAATTCCCTAAGCAGATCAGTGTTTAAATTTCTCTAATTGTCTCAAGTATTATTTTTAGAGTTTGTTCAGAACTGTAAGTGTCCAGCGAACGTCGGAGGAAGAGACCACCAAGAGACCGACTCATGCAACCGCAAAAGGGGGTTTATTGAGGATCCAGCATGCTGGGGCTCCATGCTCACTCAACAAGGAAGAGCGGCCAAGAGCCCCGAGCAGGGGTTAGGCAGTGCTTAAGTACACTTTTTGGGGAGGGCGGGGGCTTTGCATACATCAGAGCAAATCATCATGAGGCGCGAGAAAATCGAACAACAACTCTCGAACATGATTAGTACATTCATTGGCGGGAACAGGTCGGGCGGGGGTGATAGGTTAGTCCTAAGAAGGGGGGTACATTCAAACTGATTGGTTTGGGCCCTGAATGCCTACGTGCCAAACTGCACAGGGCCCAGGTTATTTAACAACTAAATGGTCAGGGGGAATATCTACTGGGCAGTCCCGTGAATTGTCCAAACAGCTACAGGAATTTCAGGTTTTGAGTGTAGCATAGGAACTTAACAATACCTGGTCTTTTACATTTTAACTCAGGCTTTGCAGCTTAGAAACTTTACAATGCCTGGTCTTTAACTTCAGTTTCTTTTATCCTTTCAGAACCAAAGAAGGTATCCATCAGACCTGGTTGATACATCTCTTAAGTCTTTTTTTAATCTATAGGCTTGGCTTCTACATTTCTTGTTTTCTTTGCAACTTATGGCCGGGTTCCCCTGTCTCACTGATGTCCTGTAAATCTTCTAGTTATATCTAGAAGCTTGTTGGGATTGGGGTTTGATTTTTTGACTAATTCTTCATAGGTGTGTGCTTCTTACAGAAGGCAGAAGATGCATTATTGTCCTTCCTTGGTCAGGTAAGTAGCCATTGCTTATCATTTCTGAAATCCTTATTTCTCAATGTTTTCCTTTGTTTGCTAGAGTGCCTTTAGGCAGGGCTGGTGCACATTTCCAGGTGCTGCCTTCCATTAGCTCCAGACCTACCTCACATGGTTACCTGGCTGACTCTCAAAGGCACTGAGCTATTGGTAGGATTTGGAGTGGGGACCACAAGGAAGTGAACAGGGAGCCTGGTCCTGATGGACTTTATAGCATGGTTGATGACACAGATTAAACACCTGAGAATAACAATTAAAGAGGTGCCATAAGTGGTATAAATAACTCACTTCTCTAGGAATACAGAGGACCAGAGAACAATCCACTTGGGTAGTCAGAGAAGGACTTTGACCCAAACACTGACTTGCTGCAGCAGGAGCAGAATGTCCTATTGATTACTGCTCTGTTGTCCTAGTCACTAGTTGGCTTCTATCCTTGGCTTCCTATTACAAAATGTCCTGTCTGTTCTCCTCCACGGTGCACGTTGGACCAAAGGTTTCATAGTCATGATTCTGGCTCCCTCTTGGTCACATGCCACCTTGTGGAATAACCACAAGTTACAACACATTTTCCAACCTTGAAGGAAGGGGAAGCCATCAAACCATCAGCTGCCGCAGGTGCAGAAAAACAGTATCTGGTCTCAACATAAAAAATGTAAAAAAAAAAGGAGGAGGAGGATTCAGAAAAAAAAAAAACATAAAAAATTTTTAAAAGGCTGTGATGTGGCTCGGGGGTTAAGCACCCTTGGGCTCAATATCCAGTAACAAATAAATAAATAAAAGAACTGGAAAAGCTAAAAAAAAAGTTAAACCATACTTAATTTTTGTGACTTTCAATTAATTTTTTATTAATAATTTTAATGAAAAAAATAAATGGCCTTAATTCTTATTTTAGTTAAGCAGAGAAAAGTTAAAAAAAAAAACAAACTATCATTACGGAGATCAAGATACATTTTACATGTCCTGTTTAGGAGGTGACCTTCCCCTGAGGAACTGGCCAATTTTACCAAGAAGTTATTTTCTCTAAGAAGAACTATACCTTGAAAACTTCATAAGCTTTTATAGTTGTCTATAGGCCTCAATTGCTGAGGCTGGCTTTGAACTTGCAATCCTCCTGCCTTAGCCTCCCAAGCTGCTGTGGTTATAGGCATGTACCACTTTACATGGCTTTGGTTTCATTTTCATTTGCTCTGCTTTAATGGGAAAATTGAGTTTATAATCACTTTATAATGAAATAATAAACATACTTTTATAAAATAAAAATAACACACAAGCAGTATTCTAGTTCATTTTCAGTTGAGACATAGGGCAAGAAGTAAAAAGAGAGATAAAGAAGAAAGGAAAAAAAGTTATAATGTTCAAAAAACAGACCATGAGAAAGAAGAAAAGACAGATTAGCAGAGACATAAATGAAAATATAATCACACAATTATAAAAAAAATTGATTTGCGCTTCTCTTTTTTTGTTGTTAGCATGACTAGAGGGTTCATTAATATTGTTTTCTTTCAAAGAACCAATGTTGTGTGGCATTGATCCTTTGTATTTTTTTTAATTCTCAATTTCATTAACTTTGTGCTGATTTTGGAAAAAAAAAATTTGGTGCATGTGTATTCTGTCAGGCACAGAACTGGGCTCCTTCATATGTGTTATCACATTCATACCTCCCACAACCCAGAGAGGACAGCAGTTGTGGTCAACATTGGTGAATACTTACCCAGTCTCCTCCTCCACCTTCTTTATTTTCTAACAGAATCCCAATTCTGTTCATGGTGGCAAAGTTCACACTAACACTTCCCTGCTTAGACATGTCCCTTGGGGTAGGAAAGGTTGTGTGACCTGATGCTTACCAGTCAGCTAAGAGGTTCTGGGAGAGGTTTCACTTTCCTAATATAGGGACTTCTCTCTCTTCCCTTTCTTTTATCACCCTGCCTGGAATACAGAGTTAGTTAGGAAATAAAGCAGCCATCTTATGACCATGAGGAGACTGACGTGAAGGAAAAGACTCCCAAAGAGGATCACAAGGCAGATGGAAAGAAGCAATCTTGGACATAGATGTCCCCAACTCTTCAGAATGCTACCTCTGGATTGCCTGGAAGTGGGAGAAAAAGAAAGCTTTGCTTGATTAAAGCACCAGAATCAGCTTTCTATTGTATACTTACTATCTGATAATTGAAGATTGAGTTTCTCTTATCCAAAATACTTGGGATCAGAAATATTTTTAATTTTGAATATTTTTAGAATATTTGAATATACATAATGAGATCTCTCTGGGATGGGACCAAAGGCTAGACATCATTTATGTCTAGCATATACTTATACACATAGCCTGAAGGTAATATTATACAACATTTCAATAATTTTGTGCATGAAACAAAATCTCCTGGTATGGAACTTTCCACCAGTGGCATCATGTCAGCACTCAAAAAGTTTCAGATTTGGGGGCATTTTGTATTTTCATGTTAGAGATGCTCAACCTAAATTATCACTGCAATTCTACTTATGTATTAAGATGCTCAAGTTTAGGCAAGTTGAGAAACTAGCTGGTGTTCAATGCCTCTTCCTGTCCACTGCCTCTTCCCCACCCCTCCCCTGACACACAACTACAAAGTGCACGAACCTCTCTGGACTCCCTGAGACCTCTCCTGGGCAAGCCAGAAGACCCTGTCCCTGCGTTTGGCAGCCAGGCAGGGTGGGCGGTCTTCCCTTCTCCACTGTTGTCTCTCCAGGGTGAGGGTCTTCGCGCTCTTCTGCTAGCCAGAGCGTGCGCTGCAGGAAATGAAGACATTGTCCCCTCCTTGCCAGACCAGTCCTCCTGGGAATGGCAGTGCAGCTGCTAGAAACCCCTCCTCTCCTGGCATGTCCCCTTACCTGCCTTTCTACCATGGTGCCCATGCTCACCGTGTCACCCACGTCCAACCACACCCAGAACATCCCTCTTAAAATAGAGCCATCTCGCCCAGCAGTTCCCCCCAGGAATTCACAAAACCCCAATCCCAAGGGAAGTTCTGCATCACGAACTTTAATTAAGTCTAAGATGTACAACCTTTTGCATTTTCACGTCTCTGAAATCAGAATGTTTGTCAACAATTGGTGATTCTTATAATCATCATGGGTCATTTTTCTTAGGCCTAACCCTCTCTAAAGTCATGACGCATCTGATGGGCACAGATGGTTTTATTGGAATATGGTGCTTAAAAACAAAAGGAGTCTATGGTCAGATAAGTTTGGGAAATAATGGCATACATATAATTAAACAAAAGTTTTTAATGCAGACCTTCTCAGAACTTTTAACATCTAAAGCACATCTCCAAGGGATTAGCTAAAATCACATGGTCATAGAATTCTCCTTTTTGGTAGAGCACCTTCTGGTTCTAGAGTTATATGAAACATAAATTAGGGAACACTATCATTACATTCTGGGATAGTTGACCCAGGTTTGCCTGATCTCTGACTATCTTCTGGAAAAGAAGTCTGAGAAAGCTGGTCAGAAAATGCATGAACAGTGAAGTTGGCAGCCCTGAAACATGGCCTTGCATAGGAAAGGTCAAAGGCTTCACAGAGGCACCATTGAACTGAGTAAGTCATTGGAAAACAGAACAGATACTTATAGGGGAGATCTCAGAAAGTGGAATGTGCAATGATGCTAAATTTCACCTACTTTGCTATTTTTATTGAAAACCTAGCCGACTTGCCTACATCCACTCCAAAGAGATACAGGGTATGTGAGGGTCGCACCTCCTTAATGCCTGGTGACTATGTCTAATCCCCAGAACCTTATAACATCGTTGGTCTCAGAAATATAAACACACCTGATGTGGTGCCTGTAAAATACCAAAAAAGGGAAGACCCAAGATGCTAGGTAATTCTTAGTGCTTTATAAATTCCCCAGGGGTGATTCTAATATGCACAGTTGAAGACCACAGTTTGGAGGAACTGGCTGCAGTAAGCAGTGTTTCAGCTGTGCCCGTTGGGGAAAGCTTCATTTTGCTGTTATAGTAATCAAAACCACAAGTGATGGGGGAGATGGAAATCAGGAGATGGAGGCAAGAGATATTTTGGAGACAGAATTCCCAGTGAGGAGTTTAAAAAGATAATTCAGGGTTGAGAAGTTTGAAAGAATGAGGTATCTCTGAAAAAGCTAGGATGGTGAGCGGGAGGAGCCCTGGGGTTGGAGGGAAGACAATTACTAGAGTTTATAGGTTGAACTTGAATTCTCAGATGGATGTCCAAGTGGAAATGGCCAGGAGGCAGTTGGAGATGGGGACGGGTTTTAGAGGATAGAGTTATGCATTTTGAAGTCATTTGTTCCCTACTAATATTTGAAGCCTCAGAAGTCAAAAGTTCATCTTTCCCATAATCGAGTACTTTTCAGGAAACCACATATTTACACGGGCTGCAGTCAGTGTGAAGGACTGCCCACCCTCTCTCTTTCCCATCCTGCCTCTCCCTCCCGTTTCTTCTGCCTTCTTCTCTCAGGTATGTTAAACCCATCAGCCTACCCAGCACCCCATCTTGAGCCTTGCCTATCTGGCAGCAACTCTGGGTGATGCTTATCCAGTGAATCAGACAAGATAGACCCTTCTTTTTATCTAGATTGTTTTTTAAAACATTACACTTGTTCCTAGTGAACCTCACCTTTAAGAACTATTTCTTTAGTTGATTAGTGCTATTTATCAGCTGTGAGACCTGGCACAAGAGACTCTACTGTCTGAGCCTCAGTTTCCATAACTGGAAAACAAATAATCGTACCAACATCTCTGGGCTATAATGAACCTTAAATGAGAAAAGCTACACCAAGTGTCAGCAAATGCCTGGGGCTAAGTAGAACCTTGATCCTACTTAGGTTTCTCTGATTTCCCTTGTCCTGCTCCTCTTAACTCCCAAGCAGATCATAACTCAAGTGCACTGTCTCCAGTGTCAGGAGTGAGTCTACACAGCCGGGAGCCACTGGGCCTGCCTGTAATCCCAGAGGCTCAGGAGCC